GATCAGCAGTGTGGAAGAGGGAGGGAGAGTGTTCCCAATCTGAATAAATTTGGTAAACATTGCCTTTTAAAAATGCAGAAATACAAAACAATAATAACTTGCTTAAATCTCCATTCATCAGCTGAAGAAAGATGATGGGCAGATGGCTGTTTGGCGATCTCTTGTGAGAGGAATATCAATTATGTCTTTAAAGTTATTTGAAATAATATGCTTTCAATGGGAAATGATCTCTGCCAAGCACACTGCCTTCTCTGGACAGCATCTCTGGATGCTGCCTGAATCCATAACCACAGTTTTTCAACCCAATTTCCTTCACTTGTCTTGGTGGCCAATATCTTACCTGCAGTGTTAAGGACCACTGATTCCAACAGAGGTTGAACCCCAATAGCATACACAATAAACCTGCACAGCCAATGCACAAAAATGTGGCTGTGATTCATGATCTGCTGATCTTTTCAACCTCCCATACCTGTCTGCCTGTCAGTTGTTCAGGCTTAGGGAGAAAAATGTTGCAACATTACAGTTGGCTGGGGAGAAGAGAGGTATAGCAGAATATAGTAAAAAAGAACACAGAGAGAAAGAGAGAGAGAGCAGAAAGCTAAACAAACAAAAGCTGTGTTTTGGTAAATCCTGATTGTTTGAACAAGTTCATGTCACTTTATGTTTTCTCTGTCTCAATTTGTCTTGTAAGTAAAATGAAGCTAACTTTACATGTCTGTAAAGTACGGTTATCATCAAGTGAAATGATGATTGATAAAGTACTTGAAGGACTATAAGACACTCTGCACTGGTAAGCATCTATTATGATACCTTTTGCTCTTTAAAGATAAGAAGTCTCTGAAATTACTTTGTCTTTGTATCTTCTGCTCCTATACTGGCATTCTTTCTGTTTATTCCTTAAATTTTTTACATTTATTTTTTATTTATTTTTTATTTATTTTAAAGAGTGTCATTGGGAGGGAGTGAGAGAAAGAGAATCTCCCATCTGCTTATTTATTCACCCCCCCCCCCAAAAAAAATGGCCACAACTGCCAGGCTGAAGCCAAGAGCCAGGATACTCATGTGGGTTGTAGGAATCCAAGTACTTGAGCCATCATCTGCTGTCTCCTAGGCGCATTAGTGGAAAGCTGGATGGAAAATGGCAATAGGACTTGATCCCAGCACTATGCTAAGGGGTGCAGGTATCACAAATGGCAGCTTAATCCAATGTGCAACAATGCCCAGACCCTCTTCCTGTTTCTTAATTGCCCCAAGCTTGTTCATACCTCAGAGTCTTTGCATTTTCTGTTCCTTCTGCCTAGGATGCACATTTTAAAAAAGATGTATTTGTTTATCTAAAAGGCAGAGTGACAGAGAGGGAGGTGGAGATGCACAGATCTTGCTTCCACTGGTTCACTCTCCAAATGACTGCAACAGCCAGGTCTGGACCAGGCTGAAACCAGGAGCACGGAATTCCATCCAAGTCTCCCACATGGGTGGCAGGGGCCTAAGCACTTAAACTATCTTTCAGTGCTTTTCCAGGCATATTAACAGGGAGCTGGTTTGGAAGTAGAGTAGCCGGAACATAAATTGGCACTCCAATATTGGATGCTGATGTCATAAGTGGCAGTTTAACCTACTGTGCCACAATGCCAGCTTCTCTACTTCAAAGTTTTTGGTAGATTCTTTCCTCCTCATCATTTAGGTCTCAGTCAAAATATCACCTTCCCATGATGGACTAGTTCATGCAATGCATGAGCCACATACACACAAGATTCTTTCTATGACTTTATTATGTTTTTTTCATTACATTTGCTGTGATGAGTTATCTTGCTTATCTGCTCGCTTACCTGTTTTCAGACTTCTTTCATTGAAATGTGAGTTCCACGAGCACAGAAACCTTGTCTTACTCATTGTTTTACACACATTACTTGAATAGTTTCTGTCACATCTGGATACATGTGTAGTGAGAAGTTTGGCAACTGATGCACTTTTCATTGTTAAGGAGAAAGTGGAGGTAACATATTTGCAAAGTTCCTGGACCTCACCCAATTTTCTTATATTTCTACCTTTCTATGTACTCCTTACAAAAGTGGCTTATTTCCAGGGATAAATTAGAGAGAAGATGGGGGAAGCTAATTCTAATTACTATTATCATTATTTCAGTTACTATTGTATTATCATCAGGTACAACATACCTGTAAAAGACACTCTCCTCTCAAGCTCAAGTGCATTTACAGAGGATAAAAGTAAGGATGATAATCTGCCACATCATTGGTTAATTCTACTCCATGGCTGCATTTTGAAATACAAAAGTCAAAAAGAGCTTTATTGTTGTGTATAATGACCATGATGCCTATCATAACACATTTGAGCTGAAAGGGCCCTTGGGAGGTAGAAGCAAATCTCCCAGTTTTACAGATAGGGAAACTGAGTCCCAGAAATAACTAAATGCCCAGCCTAGATAACATTGCAAGTTAAGGGAAAACAGGATTCAGAGATCACTGTTCATAACTCTCAATTATAAAAAAAAAAAAAAAGTAATTCGGAAGACACAGTTCTCTGAACCCAAAGAAATGAAAGAAATGAATGGATTGATTAGATTTCTCTTAGGAACTTTCCAGCTTGGAGATTCCAAGATAAAACAAGTATTCATTTGATGTATTCATTCAGCTTATGTTTATTGAAGGCCTATTCTGTGCAAAGGAAGACAGCATAATGCCTACCAGCATATTCTTTTGTCTTTTCAGAGAGAGAGAGAGCTAAGGTATAACGATGAAATAGAGCCCATATTCACAGACATGGAAAAGTGGGGAAGCTGAAGGAAAGAGAAAATAGCAGTTAGGAGACCTGGATTCTAGGGCTGACTCATCCCTTTTGGCTACAGCTTTTCCCTCTCTTGGTCTTAGTGTCTCCATGCATGAGAAGGTGGGCTTAGAACTCCTTGTTCTCTGTCAGCTCAATTGCCTTTTGACTTTGTGATTGAAATCCTGTAGGGGCACAAGAATAATTACCTCAGTGAATACTAACATGTTAAATGATCATTTCCTGAAGTCTAATTTAATGGAGGTGGGGAACTGTGGGGAAAAGAGCAGTGCAGGAGAACAGCAGAAGCCTGAGCTCACTAGCTCCAGTCAGCAGCCCTCTTTGAACCTCAGTTCCCTGCTCTGCAGACTGAGGAGGTTGGATGAGCTAATCTCGGAGAAATGCCCCCTTACCTGTTGCTCAGACTTTCTCAGGATTCTATCATTGTGCTGTGACCACAGCTGCTTGAGAAAGTGGCCAGGATTAACCTGGAAGAAGGGGCCAGGGACTTAGGTAGGAATCAATTTGTACTCTTCAAATAGTTGAAAGAATGTGATGTGGAAAATAAATTGTGCTGATTGTAGTGAACTCTAGAAAACAACTGTGACCATGATCCAAAGTTGGAGAAAGGTAGACCTCATCTTCTTAGGAGGCTGCATTTGCTAACATACAGAGTTATCCTAGCAGAGATTGTGACGGCTCCACGGTTAAGGAGCTCCCCATTACTGGAGCTATGAAAGGAGAGGCCATTCGAGCTGTGAATAGAGATCCCTAAGGGTGAGAACATTGGATTAGAGTGGAGTTCTTGAGTTCCTTAACTTTGGTAAGGATGCTTGTGGTGCTCATTTCAAAAGCTCTTAACCCTTTCCTCGGATAAACACATTCCCATAGAAACACACATAAGCATACACTCACAATTTCAGTTTTATAGACTCTCTAAAGGCTGTGCAAAACCTCTGGACTGGGTTTAAAGACCTTGAGTGTATGCTGCTGGAATCTGATCAGAGAATTACAGACGGTAGCCTTTCCCTGGCCCTCTCTAACATTGTACCCACCTGATATATGTAGGAATGAGTAAACAAAAGGCCTGGCCGGCTCTGAACACCTCCTCCAAGATCAGTTATCTTTACTCTTTCCCCTTCCTGTTTTTTTTTTTTCTGCCTTCATCACAATAAAGTATGTCCTAAGGAAAAGGCAGCCCAGAAAAAAAAAAAAAAAAAAAAAAAAAAAAAAAAA